GTACCTGTTGTTCCTAATTTTCATTTATTTTTAATTTATTTATTGCTGTTTTTAAGGTTTTTGATGTTTAAATGTGTCAAGGATGTGATGTTAACTTTTGCTCTGCATCTTTCAGTAAACTTTCATTTTGGGTATACGGTCTACAATGGTCTTGGTTGCTACAATAAAACCAGCTAGTGTGAATTATAGAGTGACAATGAGAAAATCAGGGTTCAGGGTAAACTTTTTTCTGCTTTAAAGAAAATATGTGTTTCAATAAATTACGCCGAGTCTATCAATTTGCATAAATCACACAAATCTCTGGAGTCAAATGTCACAAAACTGCCACCGAAGACCTTTGTGACATCCAGCACAGAGCTGTTCCACGTCCAAGCATGGACATGAGCATATAAAAGAGGAAAACGTTAGTTGAGACATTTACAGCAGGTCTGCTTTTTACTCTCTAAAGGCAGAAAACAGAATTATTTCAGGATTAATAAAATACTTACTTTATGCTGTTCTTTTGACAACAGTGTAACAAATCATATGTAATGTTCCGTTCAACTGATGAGTCAGATGGCTACCCTTCCTTAGATAAATAAAGTTACTAATTTATTTTTTATGTACTGTATATGAATGTTTTTGTTCATTGCCCTGAGATACAGTAACTTCTGTTGTGACTATAAACTGAAGTGATCAGTCCAATTCAAGATGGTCACCTTGGCTTTAACACAATTTATGTTTCCTGTGGGGACCCCTGACAAGGGAAGGGTTGAAATAAAAAGGTCATTACTAGCAAACCAAATTTTAGTTCAATATGTGACTGAATTAAACCAGATCGTAGGCTAAAAAATAAAATACAAGGTGACATGAATAAGTAAGTCCGAACAAGTGAGGGACCTTTAAAATGGATATCAAGAAACAAAAACTGAAAATATATAGTGCATCCTCAATATGGCCAGTAGAGGGCAGCAATGGCTTTACATAAACTTTTATTTGCTTTTAATTTTGTGTTTTGTATAATAAGTTACTTTTAAGTATTTGCTTACACTTTATTTATTTAACAAATCACATCGAAACATATTTGGGGGCCAATAAAATATTTAAAATGCTTCCTTGCAATACTTTTTCATAAACAAAGCAAAAGTTTCAGAGGCAGCTGTACTTGGTAAACGTAAAATGACCTTTTTTATTTAAGACAATAAGCTGCAGCAATACAAAACTGCACAAATAAGACAAAAATAAGTGAGTATTTAGGGAAGAATAATGAGAATGAAAAGTGTTTTAAATTTTCTGCTAACCTGAATGTTTATTAAAAATGACGTATCAGAAAACAAATGCATTAGGAGGTTTAATAACGATAATCATAAACACAAGCGTCAAAGGGCAGAAAGTATTTTACAGAACGAAGGGAAGAAAACATCTGGAGTTGTAAAACAAACCAAACAATTAAATATTAACTATAGTTCTAAAATAGGAAATATTACCGCCAAACTTTCTCTTTGTTACCAGATAAGTTATATCAAGAAATATCTATTAAAATGTATAAAATTACTATTTTCTTTTTGTTTATACATTGATGTATTTATAAACATAAATTATTAATTAATTAAACAAGTTTAAAAATTTAAAGTCCTTGGTTTTGATTGAAAATAAACTATCCTCCTCATGGCCAGCAGGGGTCAGTGTTTACCCACTTTGTCGTCTCTCCTCTGTTTGACCCTCAAACTCCATGTAAAAAGGTAACTTCATGTTTATGGGACCAAAGTTCTTCCAGCAGGATCATAAACCTCTCACATTTAGAGGCTGACTCATGATGACTCATGACTCATATTAATTTAATTAAATTCTCTCTGATTTTAGTGGTTCAGACAGAATTGATATTCTGGATTTTTATACATTATAATTTTTTTCCCCTTCCTGTTCGGAACAGCTCTGTTTCTGTGGCCTGCCGACCTCGTTGGTATTTTTGTAAACACACTGGCTCTCCTCTGAGTCGTGTGTGGTTTTAAACTAGGCGATGACGTCACAACGGGTGTTGTGCCAAAAGGGGGTGGCCTGTTGAAACCAACCAGCCTCCACGGGAGCGCGCACGCAGGCTGTTACGCTTTAGACAAGAGTCAAAACTCCTTGAATTAAAAACAGCCGTGCATTTTACACCCAGGACTTCAAGTGTGTCCTGTCTGAATTTATTTATTTATTTTAATTTTTTTTCTTTCATATCTTTATTTAGAACTTTACTTCAATGACAATAGTAAAAAATAAAAAATTAAAAAAACATATCAAAGGAGAAAAAGGAAGTAAACAACAACAATAATAATAATAAATAACAAAATAAAATACAGAAATAAATAAATATGATGATTTATAAATAAAGTGGTATGGTATGGTATAGATGTTTCTGGATAAAGCTTACAGAATGAACATGAAATATTAATATCAGCTTTATATGTCAGAAGAAAGTGTTTGGGTTGGATAAAATATATGATTTAATTTAAAATAAACTTTGTTGACTTTATTAGTGAGAAGAAAAAAAAAATTGCGGGAGAGACCAGACTTTTTTCCAATTAAGATTCTGCACATGTTCCAATAAGAAACACAAGATGGAGATGAAACCAGATTTTCTTGAAATAAAAAACAAAACAAAATGGATTTTGGAACTGACGCCTTTTAGTTGAGTTGAGAAGCAGAGCTTGAGCAGACTGCTCAGGGTCAGGAGGACTCAGAGACTGGATAGAAGAGAAGTCAACATCTTTAAACAACATGAGCAAACCAGATGGGATAGCATCAAAGACAACACTATATTCTCTTGGAGTGACAGGAACCTTGTTCTGCCTGAATTTAACCGCCTCTTAACACAATCATTATGACGTCACATCAATAATACAAAGAAACGTAGAATAATTTGATCGTGCATCACAGACCTGTGTGAGAATGGATCAAGTTTCTGAAACACAATTAACACAGTTTCCTTCACTTACAGCTGCAACACATACATGTTTACCAAAAGCCTCAGTGTGGACGTAATGAACTGATAAAAATACAAAACGCTTGAATACAATGCATTTTACTCACCAGATGTTTCATTAGTACAACGCTGAAAGTTGAATCTGCTCTGATGTTTTCTGGCACAAGTTTTACTTCGCTTTAGGGTGAGAGGTTTGCTACAGGTGTTCTAGAGTCGACCAGTCCCATCTCTGACCGTCCAATCAAGTGACGTGCTGGTGTTGTTGAAGACCTGCTAGAAGGCCCAGTGTCACCAGCTCAACATCTGGTTGGTCAAAGCAACGGTTGAATTTGTTTTAACCTACATACGCCTGCACTGTTGACTCTGAAGGCCTCGAGGCAGATTTATTTAAGCAACGCATGATGGTTAAAATAAAGCTCTATATAAACACATGCTGCTGGAAGATAGATGCCCAACCAGGAGAAAAGTTATGAAATGAAGAGAACAATTCTGAATAATTGTAATAAATAGAAACATACTGTAAAATCATATTACCCATCCTGAAGAACAACCCTTCAAAGTCAATGCTTTCAACAGATTATAAGAGACTGATGGTCCAGAGCATTTTGAGGTTTTTCAGTATTTGAATGATTCAGGCAAACTAGACAGAATCGAAAGACACAATTTGTTTTTATATTTGAGCATTTATTGAGTTACATTTATCACATTTCAGTTACGTCACAGTTTATTTCCAAATACAAGCAAGGTTAATATAAATAAATCACCAGAACCTTGTTCATTTTAAAATAATAGTGTAGAGTTGAAATGACCCTTAACAAAAAGTACTACATTTGAAGTTTATTTTTGCAAGTAAGTTAAATATATCAAGTATACTACACACCATACTTGTAGTGTACTAGAAGTATACTGATTTAATACTTGTTTGGAGTCAATTGGGACATTTTTATACTATTTTTAAGTATATCATATAAAGTTTATAAAAGTAAACTTCAAGTACACTTCCTCATTTTTAGTGTAAATTAAGTATTTGTAGTACACTTAAATAAACTACTTTTTGCTAAAGGTAGACGATATTGAGAGCAAACACTTCAGACTGACACAAAGAAAACATTGTTTTTTTTAACAAACAAAACAAAAACACAAAGTCAATAAATGGTAAACAGAGACACATTTGGTATTTGAAGATTCTTTATTGTCATTCACGCCACATGCGGTACATGTGGTGGAACGAAATGATGTACACAGGGTCCCAGCTACATCCAACAATAAATGTAAAAGAAAAACAGTAATAAGATTTAAGATATGAACTAAGAAAAACATCAGCTAAAAATACTATATAATAATAATAATAATAATAATAGGTTATATAATCCTGATCATACAAAAAATTTTTTTTTTGTCTTTATTAAAAAAAAAATACAAAACGTAATATAACAAGGTATTCAACAAAAAAAAACAAGTTAACAGTTGATATGATAAAAAAAAAAAACTGAGCAGAAATTATGAATAGAAATATAATTAACAAAGAAAATGAACAATTTATAAAAGTGTTAATATCGTCAAATCCCAAGACTCTTCCCGTGACGAACTGGCTGCGCGCGCTCCCGCAGCGGCGGATCACTTTTTGGCAGGCCAGCACTTTATGGCACGACACCGGTCCCATTTTGAGCACAACACCCATCTGCCAGGCCCACACACACACTGGCAGCGGCGGCTCCAGCCTCGGGGAGGGTCCCCCGAACAGACGCGGTCTGATTGAAGCGCAGCTAAAAAAAACACTTCTCCACCGGCGGGGACGCTTCCAGAGCAGAGACAACTCACGGCCCCCCCACCTCACCACCCCCACCTCGAAGATGACTAGTAGGAAAGATGCGCCGCTCTGAAAGCTCCTTTGACCTTCGGTTCTTCTCGGCAGCAGCGCCGAGGCTTCGCGACGCCCCCGCCGCGGAAGGAGCGCGCCGGCTCCACTGACGCAGGTGCTCCGGCTGCGTTATTATCACGCGCCGCCGCTAGCCTTTGATTTCCCCGACTAATCAATCAAGACCGCGGCAGATGCGCCTGGCTCTGTCAGCCCGGCTCATACTATGGTGGAGTTTCCATCTCTCAGCCCTTACTGGCCTCTCCTCCGGTTCCTGGTGCCTCTAGCTATCACCAATGTTGCCATCGACCTCGGGGAACAGGTAATGATCAGTTCAGCTCCATGTTTTTGGGTTTTTATTTCGCCTGCGTCGGAGAGAAGCAGTTTGTTTTATGCATCATTTAGAGAAGGAAGGCCCAAGTTATACGTTGCTGCTCCATACAGACGTCACTGCTGCAAATAAATTCAGTGATATATATATATATATATATATATATATATATATATATTGTTTTAAATTTTGACATTACCTGCCTCCTATTAGTCCATATATCAAAATCCAGGAACATTTGTGTTCTGTCTGTAATCATTATAGTCGTGTTCTGTTTTCTGGGGCCCTCTTTTAATAAGAGTCCTGGTCACGCGGTGTGGAAACGTCTAAAAACACTGAGATGTCAGGATTATGCTTATGTAATGTTAGCTGGTATAAATAGAACAGTCCTGCAAATGATGACAGCTGTGCTCCTCCGAGTTATTGGAAATTACTCTGCGCTGTTATTTTAAAGCAGCTAAAGTTCAAAATGTGACAACCCCCCTTCTTAAATGCACATGCAGATAATCCTTGAGTATGCATAGAACCTACGGTTTGCTCTGAGATAACAAAGACAGAGTCACTCTGCCTTGCTGAACTTATCTTTGTCTCTGTTCCCACCCTGTAACGTCTGCAGGCGCTCAACAGGGGCATAGCCAGGGTCAAAGAGGATACGGTGGAAATGCTGGCCAGCTATGGCTTGGCTTACTCCCTGATGAAGTTTTTCACTGGCCCCATGAGCGACTTTAAGAACGTGGGCTTGGTGTTTGTCAACAGCAAGCGGGACCGGAGGAAGGCCGTGCTCTGCATGCTGGTGGCCGGGGTGGTCGCCTTCGTCCTCCACATCTTGATAGGTGTGTTTTAATGGGATGACGCCCTGTCCTTAAACATGAACCTCAAGTTGCATCTGAAACGTCAGAATAAATACACGTTTTGTTTATTTTTCCTCTAGCTTACACAGATTTAGGATACTACATCATTAATGAGCTCCACCAAGTGGATGAATCTGTTGGGTTAAAGACGAGGAAGGCGTTCCTTTACCTGGCTGCGTTTCCTTTGCTGGATGCTATGGTGAGCAGCTTTAATCCACAGCACAATGAATTTTTAACACATGACCTAGAAATAGTTGTTTTGGTCCTGTGGCGTGTTGGTTTAAAGTCTAAGCTCGTCTGCCTGATAAGCTGTGGTGGAAAAAAAACTTGCCCAGACTGGTTTTTAATGTTTTAGATCAAGCTTTAATTAGTCCCTCTGTGCACGGTTCGGTTTCCAGGCATGGATCCATGCAGGGATACTTCTCAAGCACAAGTACAGCGTCATCGTCGGCTCTGCTTCCATCTCCGACGTCGTGGTCCAGGTAATAAAACGTATTTGATTTTAATTCAATGCGTTTTGGACTATTCTGATTGTACCATTGCTGTCTCCCCCCCCCCCCCCCCCCTGCAGATTGTGTTTGTGTCCATTTTCCTGCACAGTAATGTGGAATGTGTGGAGCCTCTACTCATCCCGATCCTTTCGCTCTATATGGGCTCCTTGGTTCGGTTCACCATTGTCGGAATCGGTTACTACTGCAACATCCACGACAACATCCCAGACTCCAGTGGACTCGATGTGGGGGTACATGTTAGCTCTTTCTTGTTCAGCGGAGGGGGGAGGGAATAACGGAGGATTTTCCAGCTTCACCAGCCAAACCGAAACTCATAAATCTGATTTTAGTTTTAATTTAAGGAAGTATGTTTATAGAATTTTAACGATTTAACAATTCTAACAGTAAATAAATTGTTTTCTTCTACCATTTTATGCAGAACTCAACCACAGCTTGCTTTAAAATGAAGTATTTCTAGGAAACAAAGTTGTCCTGTAATATGGTGCATTTTGAGCTTTGCAAAAAAAAAAAAAAATAAAGGGATAAAATTGTTAGGAACCTATATAAAATCTTATAAAAGAAAAACTGTTGTTTTATTTCAGATGGGCTATATTTCTAGGATACTCTTTGTAGATGTCCAGTGACACAAACAAAAAGTTTAGTCCGTTTTAAAAAAAAAAAACACATTTTTACTGCAATAATTTTAATATGGATGCGTTCATTTTCAGTTGAACTACAAATGATCATTTTTACGTTTTTTAAAAATGGTTCATGGAGCGGGGAAAAGTGGAATCAACAGGTCAGGCCTTTAAAAAAACAAGAAAACTGAGAGCAGCTCTAGAAACAATAATGAAAAGAGTTTAAATTAGGGGTGCACGATATTATCGGCATGGTATCGTATCGGCCGATACTAGCGATAAAGTTAAAGATCGGACGCAGGCCAAATTGACAACGACCATGCAGAATAATGTATTTTACTTCCACAGCAGAGAAAGATATGTAGTCTCTGTAAGTAGGTCTAGGTGGGGGAAATATCGGTATTGGTATCGGTTACAGGCCAAATAAGTTTTAACATCTCGGCCAAAAATACAATATTGTGCATCTCTAGTTTAAATATAATAACTTATAATTTGTGCGACTGTGCAGGGCGACGCCACCATCAAAAAGATGCTGAGTTTCTGGTGGCCTTTGGCTCTCATCTTGGCCACTCAGCGCATCAGTCGACCCATCGTCAACCTGTTTGTGTCCCGCGACCTGAAGGGGACAACAGCTGCAACAGAGGTGGGCGCATTAGAAACTTTGTCTTCATCAATTTAATTTTTTTTTTTAAAGAAATTAGGTTTTATTCTAACACCTAAGCTGGAATTACAGAAGCACAAGATCATAGAGAGGTTAGATATTTAGGTGAATCAAATGGATTAATTTTCCATTCTAGTTATTGCAGATGATGTAAGGTAACACCCCCTCCCCTCTCCCTGGAGCTTTCTGGCCTACAGAGATCCCCCCCCCCCCCACACACACCAACTAGTGGAGACAATACAAAACTGTTTACCAGAAAGTGCTTTCCAGTTCAGACAGCACAAGCTGCTGCTGGTGGTTTGGGTGAATCACCTCGTACATGTGAAACTCGGCATGAAAACATTTTTTTTTTTCGTTTGCACGTCTCTTCCTGACGCTGCATGTTGTTGCTCGCATCACGATCGTAAACGTGAAAATTAAGGGAAAGTGAGAGGCGCATGTGCTGCTTCCTTAAGCTGCTGTTATTCTTCTGTCTGTGTAGTGTGTTTAAAGTGACGAGCGAGGTGACTTCTACATGTCGTGTGTTTGTCATTCCAGGCCGTCGCCGTGCTCACAGCCACATATCCTGTCGGCCACATGCCCTACGGCTGGTTAACTGAACTCAGAGCAGTTTATCCTGCGTTTGACAAGGTAAACGAGCCGCTATGGTTTTGTTGTACCCCATCGCAGAGCGAATATGGGATTCTGAAAGACCCTCTGTTAGTCTAGTGAGCAAAACCGCTTGGAAAAAGTAAGTGAGGGACTTGCATCCATTTTGGTGAACAAAAATCCAAGATGGCGACCATCATCATACATTTATACTACCCATTCTGATTTGAGGAAATCATGCTTTTTAGTTTTTATATCGCTTAAAAGTAGTTTCTTAAAAATGACTGGGGTGGCTGAAGATTAATCTATGGTGACCAAGGCCACCACTGGCCACCCCCTGGCTCCACCACTGCACCTGATTGTGGCTAAAATTGCTCCCTCCATTCGCTAGGATCCATCACTCTACGCCGCCTCAAACCTTATACACAGTATTACTGCAACCAGTTGAATATCTTGCACTAAAAACATTAATGTTGACTTGTTCCACCCCAGAAAAACACTCATCTCGAACTACAAACATTCACTATTCAAATCCCTCAGCAACAGGGACTTTAAAGTACCGCTGGTTTCTGTGGTAATGGATTATACATTTTTGTTTGGCACTAAAGAGCTCTTTTTGCCTACAGAACAATCCCAGCAACAAGATGAATGTGGGCTGCCCCGTCAACAAGTCGCACATTAAAAAGTTCACATTCGCCTGCCTGCTTCTGGCACTGACGGTAAGACGAGACTCACCGCTTCTTTTTCTTCTCGCGCATGATTTTTATCAGTCAAGCTCTCAACACATGGGTTTATTTTAGTTGTTTAAAGAGCTCAAGCTTGGTTTACTGTGTCACTTTGTTGAAATATTTATTGGATGGCTCAAATATCTGACGCAGCTGACGTTTGTAGACTAAAACGCTTGATTTACGAAAAGCGTGTGAAATTTCAGATATAGAAACGCTCAATGTTTTTGAAACGATGCAGAAGTTTTGAGCTAAAATAAACACTTAATCCAACATTTTAGTGTAAATAATTTAAGCCGATCAGCATACTTGGTGTCTCATAATTAAGGATTTGCTTGTATCTCAGTGCAATGATAATAAAGTTTATTCTAATCTGCTATTTCCCTGCTTGTTTAATCTTTATAGTCAGTTAACACATTTGGGAGCATGACGGCTGACTTTTGTACTCATGTCATATCTGCATGCTTACAAACTAAATCCGGACAGTAGTCGATAGTTTTAAAGCTTTATTTCAGCATTTTATAATGCTCTGCTCACTGACAGGAGCTAAAGTCTACACAGATAGGACTGGTCAGCACTTTCACTCACCACAGATGAACAGAAGCAACCAGGAAGTTTGTGGCTTCATGTAGATCTGTGGTCAAATGACTTCATTTAAGCTATTTAGTTTGAAATGAAAAGAAGAAACACAAACTGTTTCTTAAACTTGTAGCCACACTGGTGAACTGATATATTATTGATCAACGTTACTAGTTTAGAGTTTAAAACTGAGCCACGATTTGCTCTGATAGTAGCTGAGAGTCGTCCTCAGCACCAGCTTCAATGGCAAAGAGGAAACATGGTTTACAGTAGAGTGTTGGCATTCAACATGGCAGGCCTTTTAAGGAATGCTTCATTATTTTTACTGTCCTTGACTGAAATGTGAATACCAGTAATACTTGTACTGGTAGTTCTTTGCACATCTTCATACATTTCAAAAATGTCCCAGCAGAAACCTTTAGCTCATCAGCCTCCGTTACCTTGGGGATCACGTTGGGGAAGTTTCTACTTATGAGGATTGTTTTGGATTCCAGACAAAATTTGAAACCGTGCAAAAACTCTGGAAAATTTTATTCAAGCACACACCCTGGCAGACACACGGGGTTCTTTTTTTTTTTTTAAAGATTGACTCAGCCAGTCTAGATTGGTGCAGGAACTTGTCCCACATGAACTGAGTGCTTTCGTAAGCATAAATTAAGACCTTTCAGTGTGCTCCAACAGCCGAATGTAGTTTTTCATCTTGGTTTTAAGTGACAGAAGTAAAATCCTTACTAAAGTCTATATTAAGTAACATAAAATACACTTAAAGCCACTTTTCTTTAACGTGCTGCATGTTGGTGTGCACGCAGCCAGTCTCTCGTCACATTAGTCCCTGATGCGTCGCCTCAAGGTGAATTCTGTGAGCAGCCTTTGCCCCAGTTCACTGTCTGAACAGCTTCAATACGACAAACAGGAAGTCTGTGGCAAAAGTTGGTTCTTGTTGGGAGTAGGAGAATAATGGCACAGCTGATGTGGAATCTCAAGGCTGTAAGTGTGTGTGTGTGTGTGTGTGTGTGTGTGTTTGTGTGTGTAACGTTGCATAACAAACTGATAACTAGGTATGTGCGCTGAACACAATCTTTTTTTTTTTTTGGAACTTGCTGTGAATACACTTGAAGTATTTTCGTAATAAAAACAGCTAAGGGATGTATTTAACTGGAGAAGTGAATAATTGGGGACTGCCTGCAGGCACGTTGTCGTTATCCACCTGATTTAGGGTTTCTTAACTTTATATCGTACTCTTCAATCAACTTTAACGCACCCTGAACCACAATGTGTCCTCCCACAAATTTTATATCAAAACGGCTGGCTCGGCACTGTAATGTGTGCCATTACTTTCATTGGCGTTTTGAGTTACCATGGCGACGTAATTTGCAAACAAAGACGCCACTTTTCTCATTCACAATGCCTGATGGAATTCAAAAGCTTCTAACGGCTATAAGTCAGTTGTTTGAGATATCGAGCTGAAATTTGCTCTGGTCGTATCTGAGAGCGAGTTTTCATACATTCCTAGTGCAAATCAAAAATCCAAGATGGCTGCCTTACCTAAAAAATAAATAAAAAACACGTCAACTCAGCCATTTTTAGAGCTATTCAGTTGAAATTTGATATGGTGGTAGCTGAGAGCGAACCCAAACGCACAGTACTGTCAAATAATTTTTTTCAATTGGCAGCAGCCTGGTAGTCCCCATCAAAGTTTCTCCAGGAGCTTTCTAGTTCAAAACATATGATCCAGTTTTATGATGAGACTTGGTCGAGGATGTCATTTTTCAGTAAATATCTCACCACAGCTGAGTCAGGGGAGACAGTGACTTTGCTTGATCCGTTCAAATTAGTCACATGTGCTTCTATCACAACAAAGTAATGATGGCTGGTTAGGTGATTGGGACCTTCGTCACCTTATAGTAAGTCTTGTCCATGTTTGGGTCCAATGGAGACCACATTAGAAACTTTTAAACACCTCATATCCTAAGGCAGGGAACATTTGAAAATGTTTACATCGTGTCTTATCTATTTCCTCTTTTAGTTTCCACTCAGAAATCTCCGTAGTCAACATTTTCTTATCAAATGCCCTGCGTTTACATGCTGGTGAAGTTAGTCATGAACAGCTTGCGCATCATTTAGCGTGATCTGGTGTGTGTAGGTGAAGTGCAGGCAGGTGACACGTTTCATAACCGCGTTTACCAAAAGTTACAACTTCAGGTACAAATTTACGACGATCCAACAGCCAATGAGAAAATGTTGAGCAGTTGTGCAACTTTCCTGAAGTGTGAGAGGAGGAAAAAAAAAAGCCACGAGGTTTGGAGAACAAGAAGATTCACAGGTTTTAAGATGTTTGACTTGCTTACTTATTTGCAGTAATGATTAAAAGCAGGTACACCCAGTGTCAATGATGGACTCTTCTAAACAAATTAAAGCCATTGTTGTCGGTGTGTGTGTGATTTGTGTGTCATTGGCTGCCACAGTTTTTGTCTTTCAGAGTAATTCCTGTGTTTATACAATGTTTGAGTGTTTTTAAAGCACTCTGCCACATCATCGAACCTTTTGGTCATTTCAGGTCAGAGCTTTTAGTAGCACAGTAGGCCCTCGATGAGGTGAAAAACCACGAAGTAGGAACACTTTATTTATTTTAGTATTTATATATAACTTCCAGTTTCTGTCTGTAAGGCTGACACATTGTCCAGTTTAAAGACTGGGCTTAAGATTTTCCTTTTTTTGATAAATCCTATAGTTAGGGTTGGCTTGTCATGCTGCCTTGAGCTTAGACTTCTAGAGGACAAATTGACTTCATTTCCTTAAATGAATTGTTAAACCTGGATAGTTTTCATTTGATCCTATTTCTATCTTGACATTTGATTCTTGACCTGCCATTGTGTATCTGTTCCCCTCAAACCCAGCCGGTTGAAGCAGCTTGTCCTGAGTCTGGTTCTGCTAAAGGTTTCTTCCTCATGAAGCAGTTTTTCCTTTCCACTGTCGCCTTCGTGCTCGCTCAAGATGAGAGTTCAGTGATGGAGTTGAACTCAAAGCAGTCTGCTCCTCAGATAAATGGTGTTAATTATTTTTGTGAATGTTTTTGTTAACTTATTATTTTTATAGATGAATGTTTCTGTTCAGTGCCCTGTGATGACTTCTGTTGTGACTTGGTGCTTTATAAATAAACTGAATTGAAAATAGACACAGCTTATCTGTTGAATCGAGTTTTTATTTTGAGCCTTATGTTTAATTCCCTCGTCCTCCACTTGGCTATTTTCCTCACATATACGTTTTTATTTTATTAATTGTACAAACTGAAAAATATTTCATCATGGTCAGGTAGATGGGGAACAATGAGTGGAAAAGCAGCAAAAATCCAAACCTAAGAAAAAAAAAAAAACGTTTTAAATAACTTTTTTTATTTATAACTTTATTTTATGTGGCAGCATCTCCAGACCTTGAAGCATACAACTATATTTTTCTAATTTTAGACAAGTTGATGCATTCGTGTTCATCTGTTTGATCCGGTTTAATGACCCGACCACGTTGCTTTGATAAAGCGGCTCGTATCTCTGAAGCGTTGCCATTGTCGTGTGTTTACCATCGCACCCATTTACATGAGAGCTTCAAAGGCCCACGTTCAGTCTGAAGCCGTAATCAAATCTATTAAATGGCACTGAATGAAATATGAAAATAATTAGCTTTTTATTTCATATCCAGATGTGCTTCATTTTGTTCTGGACTCCCAACGTGTCGGAGAAGATTCTGGTCAGTGTAATTGGGGTGGAGTACGCGTTTGCTCAGCTGTGTGTGGTCCCGCTCAAGATATTTTCCTTCTTTGCGTTGCCAGGTGAGACGCGCTGCACGATTTGTAACTCTGTGGGGTGAGGCCTTCCCCTTCTGGAGCTCTTGATTGCAGCTTATATCAGTGGGGTGATGTCTCCTCTGTGTGTTTGCAGTCATTGTTCGGGCTCATTTGACGGGATGGCTGATGACCCTGAAAAAGACCTTTGTGCTGGCGCCCAGCTCAGTTCTCCGTATCGTTGTCCTCATTATCAGTCTGGTTGTGCTGCCTTATATGGGGTAAGTCTCATCAGCTCTGTAACTCAGACTCTGGTGAACTCTGTGATCTGAATAATTCATCTCCCCCCTGCTGTGGAATTATTAACGTCGTTAGCTGAACATGATACTTTGTTTTAGGGTTCATGGGGCCACACTTGGAGTTGGATCCCTCCTAGCTGGCTTCGTCGGGGAGTCGACGATGGTTGCCATAGCGGGCTGCTATGTTTATCGACGGCAGGTGAGTACACCTGAGCGGAGACCATTGCAAATGTGAGAACAAACAGCACGCTCTGTACTGTTCACCCATCTGTTAAAGCAGGCTCCACTAATGCTAATGGCCCTGCTTGGTGTGGACGCTGCTATCGTTAAAGAAAACCTGCAGGAACAGGCATTTAATAACACAAGGCTGACTTAAACAGTTGTTTAGTAACATTTGTTTTCATTACTAATGCGAAAATGAGGATGTTGTACAGAAAAGATGGAGCAACAGTTTTCTCACAGCGCAACGAGTTGGTTTCTCACAAAATGTTGCAAAGTGATTAAAATATATATTTTTTTAAATCTGAGTTTGTCTTTAGGTATTTAAAGCACACTAAACAATCTTGTATAGGCATGATTTTTAATTACCGGTACTGGTTTAATAATCCAGTTTAAAAAAAAAAAAAAACAAAGTTCACAGGTCATCTGGACGTTTTTTTTTTTTTAGATGTTTTGTCCTTCATCCAAAGGACTTCATCAGTCCAAGGAGCCACAACAAACTGTCCCACAAGCAGCACACTCGCATAGTGGACCAACCAGTTTGCTGTGGATAAAATGATTTCTGGGGCCCACTCTCTGCCGTCAACTCCTCTCACGCAGCCATAGCCAAAATGGTTCAAAACATCAAAGTTCATGTTCAGTAATCCAGGTAGAAAATACAACAAAGTTCAGTCAGGTCATCTGGACGGTTTCTTTTTTAGTTTTTAGGACGGTTTCAAAATGAAACCGTCCAGATGACCTGACTGAACTTTGTTGTATTTTGTACCTGGATTATTGAGCATGAACTTTGATGTTTTGAACCACTTTAACTATGGCGGCCTCAGAGGAGTTGATGGGGGAGAGGGCGGGCTCCAGAAACCATCTTATCACCAGAAAACTGGTTGGTCCACTATGCGGGTGTGCTGCTTGTGGGACTGAGTTTGTTGTGGCTCCTTGGACTGATTAAGTCCTTTGGATGGACGAAACGTCTCAACAAAAAAAGAAACCGTCCAAATGACCTGTCTGAACTTTGTTGCATTTTACACATACTTGTATATTTCAGAAGTGGGTATTTTACCAAAGCTTATGCGTCATTCTACACAAGAATATGAAACATTAATTCTTTAGTTTTAAGTGATTCTTCCAGTAAGACTCAAAGCTTTCTTACAATAAAAGTATGATTCCAGCAAAGCTTTGTATATAATCTACTGAACTTTGTGGGTTTTGCCTAGATACTAGTTTTAGGAGGTTCTGCATGTTCGTTTTTTTGTCGTTGCGTAAGAACTTGATTGTTCACCCATTGTGTTTTTATTCAACTTATCACCTTTACGATTAGCACGGCTGTGGAGCAACTATCTTTAGTTCCTGGCAGTTCACCTTTTTTCTTGGGAACATGGATTTTATTTATTAACTTTTTTTGTGTGTGTGTGTAATGTTTTCAGAAAAACGAGATGTCCAACGAGTTGGTGGTGGAGTGCGAGGACTCCGCCCCGATAAGCGAGGCATACTCCAGGAACCAGATGGACGCCATCGAGGAGCAACAGGAGGAGAAGCAGGAGTGAGCTGCGAGGAGTTCGGTTTGGCGCCAGATGTTTTATTAAAATGCACACTGTACAGAAAGCCATGCACCTCTGATTGTTCATCAATCGATGTAAATATTCTTCAGATCATGTGTTTACTGGTGAACAAGAGAAAAAACATCCTCAGCAGCAAATGACCAATTGAGTGGTAGAGCTGCTGAAATCCAGAGGTAATTTCATTACTGTATTCAAGATTAAGCAGTAAGATCTTTTGGACTCAAAACACACGAGAAGTGAAACTTGTTGGGTTGTGCAATCGTATTTGACATACAATGTACAGATTCTTGTTGTGTATATTTAAATGCACGTAGGGGTTGGGAACCCCTCGTCATATCACTGCGTGTTAAGTACAGTCATGGTTAATTCAATGCAGTTTGAAGGTCTGAGCTACTTTTTGTTTTGCCAAGCATTTTCCTCCAGTAGTATTCAGACTGTCGTATGTACTGTATATACTGTATAGGCATTATTTGCAAATAAATTGCTTTATTACGAAGGTCTGACTCTTTCAATTCATTATAAACCAAGACATGGAAATCTCAAAGGGCTCAGATACATAAAAAAAATAAAAGTCCAAAACTTCCAAAAAATGTTTTTTATTCAAATACCATTGAAAACTGATGGTGCAAGAACATTCCTGCAAATGTAGTAAATATCACCTGTATCTGCTCTGGAGGGCAAGATGGAGCCTCTCGGAGCAAAGGAACATTCATTCGTATTGTGCATCATTTCTAAGGCAACATGGAGAACCAAGCAACTTTAATTTAACTCCTGTAGCTGGTGGTCAAAGCTTCTGCCAGTTTTTGCAGCAACATTGGCACTTTTTGTTCTTCAGAACAGCTTGGTTAAAGGCAGCATGTTACTCAGTGAGTTTAACACAGACGGCAGTAAACAAGCAACATACAGACCGTTATAGGTCACGCCTCTGACACAGGCTGCCATTAATCCTCCAAGTCTTGGATCATCACCACCCGATGAATCATTGAACCCTTCATTGATTAAATTCAGCCACTCTACTTACACATCTATTTGTTGAAATACAATTTTACCATCAAAAACTAAATTAATACTTAAAACTGCCAAAATTCCATTGTAAACATGATGCAGCTCATTGCTCTTAGCCTTAACTTTTTTTTATTTAATTTTTTAAGATAAACTACAAAAAAAAAAAAAAAGGGACATTTCTCTTATTTTCTCCCCGTCTGATGCATACATTTAAACCCAGAGAACCAGAAAATAAAACGCATACAAATACTTCAATAGAAAATTCTATACAGTACAGTGAATACAAGAGCGTTGGAAAACAAACAAAACATCTTGTACTGGGTCTGAAATCAGTATATATGCGTGTGTGTGTGTGTGTGTGTGTGTGTGTGTGTGTGTGTGTGTGTGTGTGTGAGAGATAATTAAAAAAAAAAAAGTTTGGGGATTGATGCTTCCGTTTGCTTTAGCTGGATGTGATGCTGCCAAAAAAAAAAAAAAAAGTTTCCAAAGATAATGAAATCAAACTACCAGAACCTACAAAGATCAAATTCTTACCAACAAGTCCCAAGAATCAAAAACACTTAACTAAATGTTTTATTTCCCTGCTTTTTATAGGTTTCGTAAAACTGAGAAGGAAAACTCGTGCTCTCTGCTGGTCAACCTTGGATTTTTCACTGAACTGGCATGTCTGCAGTTGGCGATGACTTCTGTCATTCAACAAAAAGTCCAAAACATCTACAAAATAAATCACACACAAGGTTTTATGGCACGTAAAAGTAAACTCTGGCACACGTGTTTGCAGTTAATTTACCTACAGATGAAGACAAGAGGGTAAATTATTACTGCAAACATTCAGGACAGCAAATACAGGTGCTGGTCATAAAATTAGAATAATATGAAAAAGTTGATTGATTTCAGTAATTCCATTCAAAAAGTTAAACTTTTGTATATTATATTCATTCAATGCACACAGACTGATATTTCAAATGTTTTCTTTTAATGTTGATTATAACTGACAACTAATGAAAACCCCAGTATCTCAGAATATTAGAATATTAAGACCAATTTAAAAAAAGGATTTTTAGAAATGTTGGCCAACTGAAAAGTATGAGCATGTACAGCATCAATACTTAGTTGTTGCTCCTTTTGCCTGGATTACTGCAGCAACGCAGCGTGACATGGAGTCGATCAGTCTGTGGCACTGCTCAGGTGTTCTGAGAGCCCAGGTTGTTCTGATAGTGGTCTTGAGCTCTTCTGAATTGTTGGGTCTGGTGTATCACATCTTCCTCTTCACAATACTCCATAGATTTTCTATGAGGTTAAGGTCAGGAGAGTTTGCTGGCCAGTTAAGAACAGGGATGCCATGGTCCTTAAACCAGGTACTGGTAGCTTTGGCACTGTGTGCAGGTGCCAAGTCCTGTTGGAAAATGAAATCTGCATCTCCGTAAAGCTGGTCAGCAGCAAGAAACATGAAGTGCTCTAAACCTTCCTGGGACATGGCTGCGTTGACCTTGGACCTCAGTGGACCAACACCAACAGATGACATGGCAAACCATCACTGACTGTGGAAACTTGACACTAGATCTCAAGCAACGTGGATTCTGTGCCTCTCCTCTCTTCCTCCAGACTCTGGGACCTTGATTTCCAAAGGAAATGCAAAATTTACTTTCATCAGAGAACACAACTTTGGACCACTCAGCAGCAGTCCCAGGCGAGATGCTTCTGATGCTGTCTCTTGTTCAAGAGTGGCTTGACACAAGGAATGCGACAGCTGAAACCCATGTCTTGCATACATCTTTGCGTGGTGGTTCTTGAAGCACTGACTCCAGCTGCAATCCACTCTTTGTGAATCTCCCCCACATTTTGGAATGGGTTTTGTTTCACCATCCTCTCCAGGGTGCAGTTATACCTATTGCTTGCACACTTTTTTCTACCACATCTTTTCCTTCCCTTCACCCCTCTATTAATGTGCTTGGACACAGAGCTCTGTGAACAGCCAGCCTCTTTAGCAAAGTCCTTTTGTGTCTTGCCCTCCTTGTGCAAGATGTCAGTGGTCGTCTTTTGGACAACTGTCAAGTCAGCAGTCTTCCCCATGATTGTGTAGCCTACAGAACCAGACTGAGAGACCATTTGCAGGTGTTTTGAGTTAATTAGCTGATTAGAGTGTGCCACCAGGTGTCTTCAATATTGAACCTTTTCACAATATTCTAATTTTCTGAGATACTGAATTTGGAGTTTTCATTAGTTGTCAGTTGTAATCATCAACATTAAAAGAAATAAACATGTGAAATATATCGGTCTGTGTGTAATGAATGAATATAATATATAAGTTTCACTTTTTGATGGAATTACTGAAATAAATCAACTTTTTCATGATATTCTAATTTTATGACCAGCACCTGTATTTGTGAATACTGACATTAAACCAAATGATTTTCATTCTGCATAAACCCAAACATTTACCTCATTTTGGAACAAATTTAAGGAAAAAGATTTCTAAACTTTAATGTATGCACGTAAAATTGTATTTTTTAATTATTATTTAAAGGTATAATTATTTTCTCTTTATTTGGGTTCTACGATCTAGTTATCAGTAGTGAGTATATTACCAGTAGTAGACAAGACCTGGTGAACCGAGTTTCTAGAAATGGGATACGTTTTCATACAGGAGACAGGCTAACCCTAACTAGCCAGATCAAGGCTGATTTTATTTCTTTTTAACGCAAATTTCAACCAAACAACTTCCAAGCAAAACATTTTAAACGTCTTTAAATTGTCACATTTTTAATGACCTTGTTTTTTGAACTGAACGCCTACGTTAATACAAAAACTGTGTGTGCCCAGAACCATCCTTCAATGCCAGACTCCATTAACGTCTGAACAGTTCCTTCTCTGTATGTTTTGGCTATACTGTACCGTCTTATCTCCCCAGAACAAGACAAGTTATCTTGAGTCATTTATATGGTCTTGTAGTTTCGAATAATATCAGCAAAATGACAAGCCTCAGCTGCTGTTAGTTTGATTCTTATATAAGATTCTATCCCAGTTTCTAAAAACTCAGCTTACTGAGACTCTACCTACTCCAGGTAAGGTACAAACTACTGATAACTATTTCTCAGAACTTCAAAAAAAAAAAAAATCCAAACTATAACCTTAAGCTAAGCTTGATCCAAGCTGCAAAGACAGAGATGGCACAATCTACACGTCTAACATTTTGGAAGCATTTTTCCCAAAACTCCTCCTTCAGTTGGCATAAATCTATTGTGTGGATCAACCTGAGGGGTGTTTGTCAAACAGGAGGGTTCCCTGCAGCATCAATCAGCTGGAGGCGAGCTCCTTGGGCTCTCCAGCGTCTACAACTGGAACGTTGTAGTGGCGATCATCCTCCGTGACGAGACACACGGACGGCCAGTCGTCCTTGTGATCGTCGGGGTAGAAGGTGATGAACTCCTCCGTGTTCGCCTGGTACAGTCTGTAAACTTGAATGGTGTGCTGTAGGGTGTAGCCTAGCAGGAACATCTCAACCTGGACAAAAAAAAAAAAAAAAAAGGAAATTAACAAATACAAAACACAAAGATCTTGCACAGACTTCTCAAACAGGATGGTGTTTAATCAGCTGCTCGAGCTTTCAGTCATTACGGGCGGAGTCTGCAAACAATCACAGCCCTCAGCAGATGGTCCTTCCTGAATCAGATCAGTGCTCACATTACAAAACGTTGCTCATTTGTGATTTTGATTTATTCAAATTTATTAAAATGGTGAAAACCTCCCAGCATATTTTCCTCAGTGACTCTTGTTTACTGTAAAGCTGCTGAGCAAACGAATAAAGACGGGCTTTGTTTCTCCTACCTGCTCCAGCCCGGCGCTGAGGCCCACATGCCTGAGGTGGTTGAAGAGGAAAGAACGTGGACAGTCGGACGAGTCCCGAGCAAACAGCAGCCAGCAGAACAAAGGGACGTCTCCACCTCCCAGCATGCAGCTGTGCAGCTCCACCGCTTGGCCCAGCATCAGCAGCTTGAGTGCCTCCAGCAGCCCGAGCTCCTCCTCTCCACCCTGAAACACCCGCTCACACAGTTTCTGTCTTTCCACAGACGAGGGACAGTCCACTGCTGCCTGCCACTGGAGACAAACAAACAAAAACACGCAACAATAACTCCTGGAGTCCAGCATCAACTTTGCTTTTTGGGGGGTTTAAAAGAAGTTTCTGTTTCCTGTAATTGTAGACGGATTTTCTTGTTTATCAGCCAAAAAGCTGCTCGTTTAATACATTTTTAAACTTGACATTTATAGTTTAAATAAGTAATCAGTTAATCATTAAATTGTGTGCTTGAAAGCATAAAACCTTCTTAGCAGGTTCCTGAACTTCAAGGGATTCATCCATTCATCCAGTTATTTTACCCATTTTTCCTTTCCAGGTCATGGGGGTCACTGGTGTCCATATCCAGCAGCCACTGTGCGAGAGGCAGGGGACACCCTGGACAGGTCTCAGTCCATCACAGAGACACAACGACTTTAAAAGAAGTTAAATGTTCATCTGAAAGTGTACGTCTGCATCCTTCTGATGTCTTTCCATCAACTAAAGTGAGTTTTTCTTCTGTATACATACATGCAGACAGGAGTGACTTTGAAACAGCAAAGCTGCAGTAAACATCAGAATACTTCAACCTACAATTAAAAACCAGCAACGATATAATCTGCTGTGAGCCTCAAACTGCTACAGCAAAAAAGAAAAAAACGATGTTTTGAAGATTCATCTCTCCCTCAAAAGCTTTTCCAAATCCATCGAGAATTACCAGGTTTTGTTATGAGTCACAGGAAAAAAAAAAGTCTTGCGGCTATTAGGAAGCAACCACTGTCTAACATGTGGCAGCAATCAAACTCAAAGCTCCGTGGACGGATATTTATACTCTGGTGTTGATAGATAGGTTTAAAATAGTCCTGCGATTTACTCGTGTTGTTCTGAAACGTTTTAATTTTCCTCATCGTGCGTTTCTGAGCAGATCTGCGGTCAGTACTGTGTTTCGAAGTCGCTCTACGTAGCCCTTCAGCTGCTGAGTGGCGTCTCCTCCGGAGCCGTCTTGCTGCACACACACTCCAGGAAATCTCCACTGGCTTACCAGTCCTTCCTGAGCCTCCAGCTGCTCCGGCAGCTGCAAACAAACAAAAAGTTGAAGGATCGCCGGGTTAACAACAGCTTACCTACTGAGTAAATGTGTGGAGCATTAACAAACACATTTAGCTTTATGTTGGATGTAATTATCATACAAAATTTCTTGAGACTCCTGAGAAGCTCACTGATTTTTGTGTGCTGGTAATTACACTATGAGTGGCTTCAAGACCAAAATTTAGAGTAAATGCTAGTATATAAATATACATAAATATGTGTATATAAATATGTATATAAATCAAGATCTTGTGACCCCTGCTGAAAATGTCATGATTCTTTTTTTTTTAATTTTAGATTTAGAATTGTTTTGCAACTTTAAAAACAATGTTTTGAGAACTTTCTTTGTCCATTGGGTAAAAGAGACTTGCTGCATATCTCCGATCTCCAATAAACACAGTTGTATAGATGAATGAAGGTACTTCAGTGTGATATTGTGTGTAAACATTTACCATGATAACATTGTCCTCTTGCAGCCACACAGGCACCGCGGTGCTTTGGGACAACACCTGGAACAACGTGGCTCTGAGGGCGCAGTAATTGTCCCCCCTTACCCTCCTCACGCCGTCAAACTTCTGGGACATTTCTTTATATCCCTGCAGCGGCACACACACACAACGCAGGAAGCCTCTCAGGCGTCAACACAAAAACAACCAGCTTTCATTTCAAACCACAACATCCAAAGGAGCCGACCTTTTTAATGAGAGCACTTTTGGCTGTATTTCCTTTCCACTCTCTCTTGCTGTAAGACAGAATATCCACAGCAGGAGACAAGCTGCAGTTGTCCTCCACCTCTAAAACTGGCAGAAGATCCACAAAAGGTTACACTTCATACGGCTGTAACAAACCTAACAAAGTATTTGGAGCTGTTTGATGACTTAAATATAAAGTATGAGCTGAAAACAGTTTCTATTACTTTGTGATGGAGACAGCTGCTCAGCTCCTCTGTACAGATCTTCTTCACTGAGAGCAAAACAGAACTTTTTTAAACCAACACTGAAAAGTTGGCGTGTGTGTGTGTGTGTTCTCTCTTTTTCAGAGCTGTAAGTAATTTTCTTGTACACCAAATATTTACAAATCAAAAACTGCAAAATCAAAAACTAATAAATTACCACTCACTACCTGTAACAAGTGATATAACCATAAGAAATCAAGTAATTAAATTTTCTGAAATCTGTTACCAGGAAAATTAATACTAAATAACAGATATATACTTTAAACTCACAATGACATGAACAAGTATTAATTGCGTATTTTAGCACATTTCTGTTTAATTAACGTAATTTTTTACGTTCTTTACGCGTTACAAACACAGTTAGATCATTCCAACCTCCTCTGACCATCTTCTGCACATAAAAAGCAGCTACAAGACATGCAAGGCTGAAATCCACTGCAGAGCTACAAAACACCTAAAAATGATCTTTTCAAACCTGTTCCCTTGACTGTCATTTTCTTCAGTTCCAGTTCCATCGCTGGCCTCTCCATCCGAGGCTTGCTTGTTTGTGATTTCAGTCTCCTCCTGGCTCTCAGGATCTTCCTCAGGTGGAGTCTCAGTTTCTGTTTGAGCAGCCTCCTCTTCCTTCTTCAGTCCATCATCCTCCTTTATTTTGGGAACATCTTTGTCTTGCTCTATCAGGACGGTTTCCTCCACAGCATCCCGTTTGGTTTTCTCTGAGGACATTATCTCTTTCAAGTCCTCAGCGCCTGAACACTCAGGACTTGGCTTTTCATCCATATCAAAAGTTAAGCTGCAAAACAGTCACATTTCATATTTACATAAACAGCTTTATTACCGACACCTTATTATTCCAAACAACTGAATGTATTATATTTTGTATGAGAACTATGCGGTTTCCTGCAAATGTTGGGGAAAAAAAAAACAAAAAACAACATCAGTCAGAGTCTGAGTGATCACGTGCTCCCCCTAGTGGATACAATGACGCAATAAAAAAGTTGATGCAAAACAAAAACAACGTAGTGCTTCTTTATAAACTCTGAACCTGCTGACCTGTTTTTAGCATCTGCTGGAGATGTGGCTTCTGTGGTTTTGTCAGAGCTCTCACAGTCCAGTGTCTTCTCACTGAGGTCAAGTCCTGTGGACTCCAGTCCAGAAGGAATGGACTGGGAGCCTTTTTTCTCCACAGGACTGTCCTTGCAAGGAGAGCCACTATTGTCCAAACCCACTGTCACAGCACTGCAGAGGGATCAGAAAGACAGAATCTTTTAAAACTGTGGTTTAAGTAATGCACCACCTGACAGGTAGGCCTGATATATTTTAGGCAGTTATTGATTTAAGGGGTGATGAACTTGAGGCAGCAAGTAACACACACACACTCTTGTAAATGAGTCCTCGTGGCTCAATGGGACTAACCCGTTTAAATAAAGGTTGAATGAATGGAAAAATGCAAATATTGTGCAATCTAAAAAGCCTGATAAAACAGTACAAAATACTGTAAATATAATGAGGCAGCTTGCCAGTATCAATACTTCATATTCATTCATAATCCATCCATCCATCCATCTATCTAACCCACTTCTTCCTTTTCAGGTCAAGGTGGTGACAGGTGCACAGTGGTGCGACAGGCAGGAGACAATGTGGACATGTCTCCAGTCCATCACAGAGACACATGGAGACAAACAAGACCAACAACCATTCACTCTCTCACTCACACCGAGGGACAATTTAGAGTTACCAATCAGTACATGCATGTTTTTGGTCTGTGGGAGGAAACTGGAGTACCCGGAGGAAACCCACGCATGCATGGAGAGAACATGCAAACTCCACCCAGAATGGCCCCTGGCTGGGATTTGAACCAGCAACCTTCTTGCTGAGCAGAAGCATGATTTTACTAGATTCACACAAATTCAAGAAAACAGATTAATTTCTGTTACCCTCTTACCTCGACGGAAACAAATTGGATTCATGATGACAACTGGTTATTTTGCTGTTTGGCTGGTGAATTCTGGATTGTCTATAAATTCGTGTGGATGTACCGAAGCTCGACAGCGCTCAGACAGAATTTGGGGAGCTGCAGCAGGGAGCTGGAGCAGCTGTTATCAGGACTGTGAACTTCCTGGCAGCATCCATGAACGGTGGGTGGGAATAATCTTAGAGAAGCTGTGAGCTCGACTTTTGGCGTAAAGAGTCAATTTGGCTATTTTGGAGTTCCATCAGAGGAATATATAGCAGTGAGACTTTAAAAAGGCAGAAACAACAATTCACGAGTTCTGCCTGACCCAAACTGTGGCCTTGATGCAGGACTTATCTCAACTTCCTGGAATGTTTTGAAAACAACAAAGATGCTTTGACTGTTTCCTCACCCCTCTCTTCCCAAAGGCTGTGGACATGTGACAGAACCTCAACTGAGCTGAAGATGAATGACACCTCTTATCTGGACAATGGCTGATGGGGGGGGGGGGGGGGTCTGGACTATGCTACGACTTTCCCTTAAAAGTCAATGTCTTCACCGACCTATATGTACATGTACAGGTCCTTCTCAAAAAATTAGCATATTGTGATAAAGGTCATTATTTTCCATAATGTAATGATAAAAATGAAACTTTCATATATTTCAGATTCATTGCACACCAACTGAAATATTTCAGGTCTTTAATTGTTTTAATACTGATGATTATGGCATACAGCTCATGAAAACCCAAAATGCCTGTCCCAAAAAATTAGCATATTTCATCCCACCAATGAAAAACAAGTGTTTTTAATACAAAAAACGCCAACCTTCAAATAATCATGTTCAGTTATGCACTCAATACTTGGTCGGGAATCCTTTTGCATGAATGACTGCTTCAATGCGGCGTGGCATGGAGGCAATCAGCCTGTGGCACTGCTGAGGTGTTATGGAGGCCCAGGATGCTTCGATAGCGGCCTTAAGCTCATCCAGAGTGTTGGGTCTTGCGTCTCTCAACTTTCTTTTCACAATATCCCACAGGTTCTCTATGGGGTTCAGGTCAGGAGAGTTGGCAGGCCAATTGAGCACAGTAATACCATGGTCAGTAAACCATTTACCAGTGGTTTTGGCACTGTGAGCAGGTGCCAGGTCGTGCTGAAAAATGAAATCTTCATCTCCATAAAGCTTTTCAGCAGATGGAAGCATGAAGTGCTCCAAAATCTCCTGATAGCTAGCTGCATTGACCCTGTGCTTGATAAAACACAGTGGACCAACACCAGTAGATGACATGACACTCCAGTGACTGTGGAAACTTGACACTGGACCTCAAGTAATGTGAATTCTGTGTCTCCTCTCTTCCTCCAGACTCTGGGACCTTGATTTCCAAAGGAATTGCAAAATTTACTGTAATCAGAGAACATAACTTTGGACCACTCAGCAGCAGTCCCAGGCGAGATGCTTCTGACGCAGTCTCTTGTTCAAAAGTGGCTTGACCTGGGGAATGTGGCACCTGTAGCCCATTTCCTGCACACGCCTGTGCACGGTGGCTCTGGATGTTTCTACTCCAGACTCAGTCCACTGCTTCCACAGGTCCCCCAAGGTCTGGAATCAGTCCTTCTCCACAATCCTCCTCAGGGTCCGGTCACCTCTTCTCGTTGTGCAGCGTTTTCTGCCACACTTTTCCCTTCCCACAGACTTCCCACTGAGGTGCCTTGATACAGCACTCTGGGAACAGCCTATTCGTTCAGCAATTTCTTTCTGTGTCTTACCCTCTTGCTTGAGGGTGTCAATGATGGCCTTCTGGACAGCAGTCAGGTCGGCAGTCTTACCCATGATTG